TATATATATATATATATATCTTACGACAATCATTAAAAGTGATTAATTTGGCCATGTACAAATTAAACTGTGTTCTACCTACAGCTCAAGAATTTGGTCTAGGGGCTAGGGTTGTAGCTCAGTGGTACAGCACTTGCCTGGCATGTGTGAGCACTGGGTTTGATTCTCAGCACTGCATATAAATAAATAAAAATAAAGTTCCATCAACAACTAAAAGAAACATATTTTTTTTTAAAAAAGAATTTGCTCCAGGAAGAAATGGCACAGATCCTTCAGGAGGGTTTAAAGTCTGCCTGCTGTTGCTTTGGCTTACATTTATCCATAGATTTGCATTTTCATACATTCGTAGAGTTTGTATGCATCACCTTAAAAGAGCTGCTATATGGTTTTGCCTCTGTCACATACTGGTCTGACTTGTTATTGCTAAAACACCTTTGTCTTAAATTGGGTTTTACACCTTAGAGGAAAATAATCTCATATGCCTGTAGTACTTATTGCAACTACAGAATTAAAGGGTAAGTTTTGTGGTGGCTTTGATTTTACTTCTTGAAGTAATCTTAGAAGGTATCACTATGGAAAGAAAGAGCACAGTAGAGGTTTCTGAAAATCTTTTCAGTTTAGGGTTTATTAATAAAATATTCCAGGAACTGAAGTTACTGGATTATTCTAACACAAAAACATCTTCAAGTGCATATCATTAACATAATCAACTGTGCTGCCATTCGTGGATTGTTTAGTGATGTAATTTATGATACTGCTGACAGCCAGCAAAGATGGAAGAAAGAAGAAAACCTTCGATGCAGTTACAGAATGGCTTCATGGTATTTCTAGAACTATTGAACCCAATGGGTATGATTTTCAACTTTGGAAAATCTTTTAAAGAGTCAAGTTAAAGCATACTTGATTAAAGTGTTCATACTTAATCTAACTGAAACTTTTGGTTTACAGGAGATACAGGGGAGGGAACATCAAGTTAAATGATAGCACAAATGATATTACCATGCAAATCTAGAATCTGGGCCTTTCATTAATTTCATGAGATAACTGTGATGCAAAAATTAGATAAAAAGACAGACCACACCTGGGCACCTAGGGAAATCTTGAGATACACACACACACACACACACACACACACACACACACACACACACACACATTTGTAACTCACTTTCAAATAACTTTTTAAAAATTTAATGGTTAAAAAAATTATTCAGCTTCCTGAATAATTTGTTTGCTGTTATAAAAAGGAGCAATGTGAAAATAATTTCTTTTTTTTTGTGTGTGTGTGTGTTTAGATTTAGGTCTAACTTGAGCAAGAAAGTGAAGCTCACAAGCAAGATCCAACATGAACTGAACCTCAGCATAAAATTTGGAATATGGAAAAGTGGATGCTACTTACATTGTCCTTTGTCTCCACATCCGGGTAGGAGACTCTACAAGAAAAATCCCTGTCATCAAAATTTGTAGAAGTCTCTGAGCATCCACCATTGCAAAGGAAGAGAAGCACCATTAGGCAGTGCCTGGGAGGAGGGCCTTAGTGCAGAGAGTAGGCTGTCTCTGCCTTCTTGGTCTTGGGGCTGAACTAAAGCAGTCCTTGCTGTTGCTGTTGGGGTCCTTTTATATATTTCAAACTTGTGCTTTAAATAAATTTACCAAAAACTTCTAACATGAAAAGAAATGCTACTGGCAGAGTGACAAGAAAAAAGGATAAAAATATTTTCAAAGTGCCAGCTTGATTCTTTAAGAAACATATTGCATCTTTAAGCAACATGGTATGCATTCCTTCTGCTCCACTCTGAATATCTACCCTGCTTCTTTGACCTGGCCTAACTTTTTATTGCCTTCACCCTGTTTTAGCTCTCTCCAGTTTTCTATCCTGTCCTATAGCCTCATTCTCTATCCCCCCTGCCTTTTCTCTCATTCATCTTCTCCATCAATTCCAGAGCAATATTTCTAAGATGTGATGTCAATCATGTGCCTTCTTATTTTTTTCAACTTTATTGAAGCATAATTGGTTTACCAAAACTGCATTTATATAATTTGGTGAGTTTGGATAAATGTTTACACTCATGTTACCATCACCAGTATCCAGATAGTAAACATCTCCATCAACTCCAAAAGTTTTTTTTTATGTTCCTTTGTTTTAATTTTTTTAATTTTTATTTATTTTTATTTTTAATTTTTATTTCTTTGGGGAGTACCAGGAATTAGACTCATGGGCACTTGACCACTGAGCCACATCCCCAGCCCTATTTTGTTTTTTATTTAGAGACAGGGTTTCACTGAGTTGCTTAGCTTTGTGCTGAGGCTGACTTTGAACTCATAGTCTTCCTGCTCAGCCTCCTGAGCCACTGGGATTATAGGCATGCACTATTGCACCCAGCTGTTTGTTTTTATTTTTGTGGTAAGAACACAACACAAGATTTTCACTTTTAACAAATTTTTAAGTACATAATTCCTCATTGCTAATTCTAAGCACTGTTATATAATTTTTTTTTCCTGGAACTTATTGATCTTGCGCATACTCTTTAAACAATTCCTCATATTCTCCTTCCCCATCCCTTGGTAGTCACTCTTGTATTGTCTACTTCTGTACCTTTGACTATTTTAATTGCTTCATTTAAGAGGAATCATACAGTATCTGTCCTTCTGTGTCTGACTTATTTCACATAGCCAAATGCCTTCCAGGTCCATCAATGGTAAATGGTAAGATGTTCTTCCCTTACAACTGGATAATATTCCATTGTATGGATAGACCACATTTTCTTTATCCATTAATCTGTTGATAGACATTTGAATTGTTTTCAGATCTTGGCTCTTATGAATAGTGCTGCAGTGAACATAGAAGTTCAGATATCTCTTTGAAATCCTGATTTCATTTTTGGAGGTGAGTATATACTCAGTAATGGATTCCTGGATCATATAATAGTACTATGTTTAAAATTTTTAAGAACCTTATACTGTTTTCTATATTGGTTGTACCATTTTACATTATTACCAACAATATACTTAGGTTTCAATTTCTCCACCCCCTCACAAACACTCATTAGGTGTGAGGTAATATCTCTGTGGTTTTGATTTGCAATTCCCTGATGTTTAGTGATGTTGAGTATCTTTTTATGATTTGCAGTTTCCTGATGATTAGTGATGTTGAGTACCTTTTTATGAATGTTTTGACCATTTATATCTTTTTTTGAGAGATGTCTAGTCAAGTCCTTTGGCCATATTTAACTTGTTTGTTTGTTTTTGATATTGAGCTTTAGATGTTTTTTATGTATTTGGGGAATTAATCTCTTATCAGATATATGGTTTGCAAATATTTTCCTCCTATTCCATAACCTCTCTCTTCACTCTGTTGAATCTACTCTTTGCTGTGCAAAAGCATTTTAGTTTGATGTAACTCCACTTATCCACTTTTTCCTTTTCATATTCATGCTTTTGGTTTCATATTCAAGAAATTATTGTCCAGAACAATATCAAGAGTTTTTCCCTCAGAAGATCTTTGCCACCTGCTTCTGGATATGACATTAATATCCAGAATACATAAAAACTCAAAAAATTTGACACCAAAACCCAAATAACCCAATTAATAAATGGGCAAAAGAACTAAACAGATACTTCTCAAAACAAAAGGTACAATTGACCAACAAATACATGAAAAAAAATGTTCAATGTCTCTAGCATTCAGGGAAAGAAAGTCAAAATTACATTGATATTTCATCTTGCTCCTGTCAGAACAGTAATTATCAAGAAAACTAATAATTGTAAGTGTTGGTAAGGATGTAGGGAAAAAGGTATACTCAATGGTACATTTGGGCAAGACTGCAAATTAGTTCAACCACTCTGGAAAGCAGTATGGAGATTTTTCAAAAAAACTAGGAATAGAACCACAATATGATCCAGCTAATCCAGTCTTAGGTATAGGTCCAAAATATCTAAAATCAAAATACTATAGTGACACAGCCACATCAGTATTTATCGAAGCACAATCACAATAACCAAGCTATGGAACCAACCAAGGTGCCCTTCAACAGATGACTTGAAAAAGAAAATGTGGTAGATATACACAATGGAATACTACTTAGCCATAAAGAAAAACAAAATTATGGCATTTGTTGGCAAATGGATGAAACTGGATATATCACACTAAGTGAAATATGCCAGACTTATAAAGCCAAAGGTTGATGTTTTCTCTGATATCTGGTAGCTAGTCCAAAATAAGAAAGAAAAACAAGAGAAAAAAGAAAAAAGGAGGAGGATTCTATCAAAAAAGAAGGAATATCAGTGGGGTTGATAAAGGGGACTTAGGGGTAGAAGAAGGGTCAGGATAAGGAAGAAAGGAGGAATGAATCTGACCTAACTTTCCTATGTACATTGTGACCATACCACAGAGAATCTCACCATCATCTGTATCTAAAAGATACTAATCAAAAAGAAAAAAAATATGAAAGTAATTAGCATAAAAATAAGTAGAATAAAAGAAAGGAAACAGAGAGAGGGAAGAGGAG